TAAAAGTACATGTGGAGAGAGAGAGAGAGAGAGAGAGAGAGAGAGAGAATAAAATTCAATGTTCGCAAAATATAACACTAAAAATATTTCTATTAAACACGATTTAATTTAATTTTTAAATTACAAAAAAACATATTTACAATTAAATTACAAACAAAAATATATTGATTACAAAACAAACAAAAAATGCAAACAAAAAAAACAAACTCATAATTTGAAGGCCAAAAACAGCGCTATTATATAATCACCGATCACTTGATCCCGTGCTTCTTCATATGCACCCGGAGTCTACTCATGAATGCGGCCCTATATTGACAGTCAGGCCATTCGCAGGCGTACTGTCGGGTGCGGTGCCGATTGGACACGTGGGCCGAGCGGTCACCGGTGGTGGCGAAGTGTTGGTCACAGACGGCGCAGGCGAACGGTTTAGCGCCGGTGTGTTTATTCATATGCTCTCGCATTTTGCTCTGGCAGTCGAAGCGGTGGTCGCAGCCCTTCCAGTCGCACGCGACGGGCCGGACGTAACTCTTGTCGTGGACGCGTTGCCGGTGCAGCTGTAGATGGGATTGGACGCCAAACTGGCGGTCGCAGCCGTAATAGTCGCACGCGTAGACCCGGTTGTGACACTGTTGGCGATGTGCGCGCAGTTTGCGCGCCACGGCGTAAGTCTTCGGGCACTGATCGCAGCCGTACACTCGTTGGGGGTGTTGGCCGTCACCCGCCGGGTGTACTGACCGCTGGTGATCTCTGAGCGAGAGTCGCGTGGCGTACGTCTTGTCGCAGGCGTCGCACGCGTACCGATGGGTGTGAGTGCGGATATGGCGGGCGATGTTGGCGTTGCCTTTGGTCCGATAAGGGCAGCCGTCGGCCGGACAGGTCAGCCACTGGCGGTCGGGGAACGAGTCGGGGTGGCAGTTGATTTGGTGCCCGTTCAGCACCGACTCGGTCTTGAAGCGCACTTTACACCCGTCGAGACGGCACCGGTAGGGCCGGGCGCTCGAGTGGGTGACCGTGTGTTTGAACACTTGAGTGTCCCGTTTGGCCGTATAGGCACAGCCGGCGTAACCGCACCGATAGCCGCCATCCGACGGGTAGATCGGTATGTCGTTTGCGGACAGTTTGGCCGCTTTCGATGCCACTGTTTCGCCGGCGGTGACCAATTGGGCCGCAATGGCCGCGCCGTCGACATCGTCAGCGGTGATCAGCAAACTCTCGTCGTCACCGGTGCTGTGGAGGCCCAGTGTGTGGGCCCTGAGCTCCATATCGGACACAAACTTCTGGGCACAGGTGTCGCACACGAACTGCTTATAGTGGGTCTGTTTGACGTGTGTCTTGAGCGCCGACAAACAGTTGTAGCGTTTGTCGCACTGCGAGCACCGGTACTCCAGCGCCCGGGTGTGCACAACCGACCGGTGCTCGTCCAGAGTCCGCTGCCGGGCGTACGACTTGTCACAATCGGCGCACTGGTAGCGCACGGCCTGTGCTTCGGGGCCCGTATGGCAGCGCATGTGTTTAGTCAACGCGCTGTTCACTTTGGTCTTGTAGTCGCACCGCTGCGACGGACACCGGAACCACTGACGGTCCGGGAACTCGTCCGGATGGACGACCATTTGATGGCTACGCAAATGGGCGTCCGTTTTGAACCACTGGCGGCACCCGTCGGCGACGCACCGGTACGGCCGGTATGTCTTGTGCGCCGTGAAGTGGAAGACCACGTGTTTGCGGTTTTTGGTGGTATAGGAGCAGCCCTTGTAGCCGCACCGGAACCCCTCGGCGCACGTCTCTATTGGTATTTTGGGTGAGTTCTGGTCGCCGCCGCCGCCGGTCAGTGGCCGCCGGTTCTCCTGGTTTTCCGCCGTTTCGGTCGATTTGTTGGCTAATTATGTGTAAAAACAATTGGATTAGTAATGAGTTCATAGAGTGAACTATTTGTCATAGTTTTCTGGTTTACTGTTAGATCATAGCTCACAGCCCTTAAGGTGTTATGAACTATGATGTAAAACATTAAGGTCATAGATTTATGGATTACACCCGTCTAGTAATGAACTAGTTTATTGTTTACACCTGTCAGGTAATAAACCTATCGGTTATACCCTTCAGGTTATAAACTATTGGTAACACTAGACCAGAGACTATCACTTATAGCTTTCAGGTAAAGGGTTTGTCGTTTACCGAATTGTTTTAATTGATTCCCGCGATTGATGTGATCCAAGAAGTCCTCGCATTTAGTATACATACGATCGCAACCGAAACACTTGAGTGGCATCGGCAGCGCTGTCATCAGACAGTAGTTCTCGACAGTAGTCTTGGCCGCCGATGACAAACACTTCTTGGAACCGGTCTTCGGCCGAATCGGATAAGACAACGATTCCTCCGCCGCTGTTCCCATCACTAGTACTTCAGTGGCCACGAGTTTAGCGTAAATATTATCGTCATATTTGAGGCCATCGGCGGCTGTCATAAGACAATCATTTACAACACAAGAATCACCAGAAAAATCAATTACCAATCACTTGATGACAGTTGTCGCAGATTCGGGTGATTTCGGTGGTCTTACGGCCAGTGGTTATCGGCTGCGGAGGTATATTATCACTCGCTATCACATCCAACAGATCCACAAAAAAACAAAGCAATCATTAGAAACAACAACAAAACAAAGTCTAACTGTCAGATACTGACAGCTGATCTCAAGGCATACCATCACCGGTAGTAGTTTGACAGCCGGTGTCCACCACTGCGGCGGCCAAACCTATCGGCGGAGTCGCCGTCACCGGAGCTGAAGAAGCAGTGGTCGTAACAGTGGGTAGGCTTTCATCCATGTCTTTGCGGATCCGTTGATAGTCCTGGAAGTGGTGGTCATTGGTGTGGACGAGTGTCCGGATGTGATCGCAACAACACGTGGTCTTCATGTTTACCGCGAAATGCATTATATTTTCCAAACATTTAATCAATTTCTTCGCAAACAATAACTCTCTTATGAGTCGATTGTTTTCCGCTATTATTTCCACAGACATTGTCTCTAAGAGTAGTTCCCCTATAATCGGGGTCTCACTGTATGTCTAGTGAATTGTTTAATTAAGTTTAAATTGTAATTAATTTTTTAATTTAATTAAAAGTTTGCAAAACATTTTTGACAACTGTTTTGCTGTTCATTAGTAAACAACTGTTAAATGCAATCTATCCGTAAATAACGTAACCAATAGTCGAGTCAACACATTTGGTACCTTTATATACAGCACTTACTCATTGGTTTTTCTTATATATTGTTATGTATAGAAAGGCCCTAAAAGTTGACGAAATATTTACTGCCCCCTATATCTTATCACATTATTATCCATACATTGTTTATCTATAGGTAAACCCTCTATATGTCGCGCCCCCTATCGCACCCACACCTCCATAAATGCGTTACGGTTTCTGTGAATAGGGATTAGAGTGAAAGTTATTGTTGACATTACTCCCAGTTTTAAGCCTTTTTGTGGGAAATGTTTTTTGCGATACTTTTCAATGCAATTGAAAACACAATTAGTTTTACAAATAAAACAAACTTTTAATACATAACTAATTAAATGATTAGTTAATAATAATAACCACTAATAACTATATCACTAATTGTAGACCACGTGTCAGGACTGAGACAATGGTCAGTGAGAAGGCGTATGAAGAGTTGAACGCCGATTACGAGCGACTTCTTCTGGAGCTGTCGGCCGAACGCCAGGCGCGGGAAGTGTTGGATCAGATCGCCGGCAAAGCGGTGCCACTTCTGCACCGATGCCAGTGTCGACACCAGC